AGTTTTGAGCCCCAAGTATATCTCTGCCTCAAACCATAGGCCATTTCTCAAGATGTTTTTTTGCTATCGCCCTCCAAAATAAGGGGAATGTCAGAATATCTTTCTTCACTGAAGCTAACATTCCACACTGGAGCAGTCACTATCTTGCCCAATCCCCACACTAGTTTAAAGCTTACGGAAGTCGTGGGTTTACCTTGCAACTAGAATTGATAGTCTGCCACTAGGGCCCTCTAGCTTACCTTGTGACTGCATCTTCAACTTCCCCCCCTCCTCCCAGGAAGCCAGGGAACTGTTTGCTGCTTTTCTCTGTTGTCCTTGTATCTCTGTTCGTTTCTGCTGCCTCATCATCTCTTTCGTGGTTCCTAATAATCTTTCTTTCTCTCTTCAGAATATAGGTCTGCTGTTACCTGTTTCTTCTCATTCATGGAGTCAAGATGGTGGATGTTTTTAAATGGCCATCTTGCCCTATCTCTACTATGTATTTTTTCAAGGGTAAACTTAAAAAAACTATATTATACACAATATTATATATACATATATATAATACATATTATATTATATATACATATATTTACATATATGCATGTATATATACATATATATTATATAGGCACATATATTTGTTTGTGTGCCTATTTGCCATCTATATATCCCCTTGGTGAAATGTCGGTATGTATCTTTTGCCAATTTTATATGTATATATGTGCATATATGTCACTTATCATTTTTATTCCTTCAACAATGACTCTTAATTTCTATAGCTTTATACCTTGTTGCATAGGGTAGAACCAGTCTCTACTATCCCCAAATACAATTCTCCTTAAAATAGTCTTGGCTATATTCTTGGTCATTTATTTTCCTAAAGTAGAGTCACCTTTAAGGAACTGTATTTTTCTGGGGAGAATTGACATTTCTGTGATATTTAGTCTACTTACCCATTTTTTCACTTAATTGGATCTTCTTTAATGTTAAATCCCTTTGGTTCTCACACTCTGTTATCATCTTTGTCCAAACTACAATATCATGTCTAAAATTCAGTGGTATGAATGTACCTACCTCCTGCTTCCTACTCACCACCTCCCACATCCCACCTCTCACCCCTGTCTATTCTCTACACAGTAGCTATAGAGATCTGTCAGAATTATGGTACAACTATGACCATGGTCTCTGAGGACCTAACTTGATCACCAGCCATTCCACTGACTGTACCACTTACATACAAGTGTTCAACTTGCTCACTCAAACACCTATAAGCATGTTCCCAGCTCACACCCAAACATAGCTCCCTTTGCTTATAATTCTTTCCTTCCAGGTATGCAGATGATTCATTTTCTCATTTCATTCAAACATTTGCTCCAATGACACTTTGTCAAAGACAGGACTTTCTGAATTCCTCAACTAAATGATCACCCTTGTCCGTATCACTACAGCAATCTAGCTTAATTTTTCTTCATAGCACTTCTTAGCACCTGACATAGTGTCTGTTTATTTGTTAATTTTCTCATTTTCTCATTGAAATGGGTGCTGTATGAGAAGACAGTAAGTAAATGCTTATAATCTATTCATACTTTATTCACTGTGGTGCCTGGACAATCTCTCTTTGCAGCAACTCTGTTGCAGTGAATTTGCAACATTGGGCAGGCTCTTCAAAAAGTGCCTGGAGCAGTGTCTGGATACAGTAGGTACTCAAAAATGGATTTGTTGAACTGGAGCATTGGCTCAAGCAGTAGAGTGCCTGCCTAGCAAGCACATGGGCCCTGAGTTCAAAGCCCAGTACCACCAAAATATGATTTGCTGAATGTGGGTTTATATTTTCTCCACAGGGTCATGTATTACTTTATGATAGATATATGCCTAGATTCCTTATTTTTTCAATAAATTATATTCTCTATTTTCTTTTATCCTTTCCCCTCTATTTATGGCTACAGTTTTGTGAAAGAGATAGAAAATTATTTGAAAACCTCAAAAATAAACTCAGTATAATTTCTAATTTGAATATAGTCACATTCTTATTTCAGACTATTTTAAAAAAGTAACTAACACTGGAGATGAATAGGAGAATATATTTTAAATACAATATTTTGGTAGTGACAGTCATATATTGTGCCATCTGTCACTCGGAATAAAGAATTTCAAACAATCTCTACAAAAAATGACTGAATCTCAGTACAAAGACAAATAGAAGAATTACAAGAAACTGTAACTCAGATTATCCTACTCCAAATTTCTCTAATAGTATCATTGTTTGCCAATTTACATCACCACAGATCTGGAGGCAATATAGCCCAATGCACTCTGCCATTCTACCTGCAGGTCTATTGAGGAAGGGCAATTACCCTACAAAGAGTTGACAATTCCTTTATGGAAGACATTGAATTCTAAAGTGGAAATTAGTGCATCAATAATGAAAGGTCAGTAAGAACACAATGCACCGACTTCACTGCCACAGCCACTGCAGAGGGGGAGCATCCAGGCAACTCAGCAAATAGACTGTGCACATATCATAAGCATTCACTTACTGCCTTCAAGGATCCTTTTGGCATGGATCTCTATGAAATACACTTGGACTCTAAACTTGCAAAAATAAAAAACAAAATCTTGCTGAAAAACAATCAGTATTTTCAATGCTTAAGCAGTAGATCAATGGGACTGGGACCACACAGGTGTCTGGGATCTGCTGACCTTCAGAACTCCTAACTAGTTGGCAATGTGGAGCTTTGATATATGAGGTAATGCTTAGTGACCAGAAGCTCAATTTTTATTCAGTACACATAACTTCAGCTTTGTTCAACTGAATAACTTCCGTAGTCCAACATTCAAGAATATTGACTGCTGTTTTAGAGTGTTAATATACTGTTCATTTTGTAAAGGCAATTACAGGGTTTCTCAGCTTGGCTGTGGATGCTATGAAGAGTTGCTGGGAGGATAAAAGGGGTTCTGTGAGGTTGTCGTACAATTAAACAAACTCATGACTCCCTTTATTAGCTTATAAAACAAAGCAAAAGGCAATATGGCAGTCTCGTTAAGAGGGAGATAAGTGATAAAAGTTTATTACACATTACTTACGAAAGAATCATATGTAACTGCTCTGTGATTTTTTTTTTAAGAAAGGGAAATACTGGAAATGTAGTAAGGACTATGTCTATTAAGGCTTGCCTTTAAAGGAACAAAACACCTTCAAATTAAATTCATGTTCCTTAGTTTTCACTTTCCCATGATGTAGGCATAATTCAATCAAGGCATTTTGCCAATTATCACCAGAGTAAGAAACAAGGCATTAACTACCTCTTCTTCAAGGGACAAAGTTCTTAAGAAATAATTGATTACTGCTTGCAGGGATCTGCAGATAAAACAGTAATTCTCCTGGGGATCTACTATTCATAGTGTAAACCCTGAAGGGTAAAAAATTCAATGTGAACAGATTCATTGATTTAATGGCCCTTGGAAGAGGATACTCACTTTTTCCTTTTCAGCATTATGAGGGTTTTCTTTCATTCAGTGGTCTATGGAAAGCAAGCGTCTACAAGCCACCAACATGCCCAGAGCTCTAAAACAACTTAAAAAGGGTTTGGAATATGAAATTCCAGCCTTGCTCCTCTTTCCACAAAGACATGCTTAAATAATGAATTTATATGCAGATAGATATAGATGTGTGAGCATGTTCACATACACACACATTTCTTACTCTCCTCATAAAAACAACTAAATTATATTATTTGTGAAGAATTCAATAAGAAATCTTAAATTTATATAGGAAAAAAATTGTGTAGGGGAAAAAACCCCTTCAAATTAACAGATACCTTCTTGGACACTAAACTGTTACTTGCCATTATAGTATAGCTGATAAAAATAAACATTTTGTTCTACTGAAACTTTAGATTGAACATAACAAGGCTGCAGAAAAAATCAGTTATGATAAATCCTGGGAATATAGAGAGATACTTGAATCTACACATGCAATAAATATTATACATGCCTAAGTATTAAGATATTTACAATTTTTCCTCAGTTCAGCTCATGTTAGGTTGTTTCCATAGCAATGGTGAGGATATAGCTAAAAGCCACTTTACCATTTCTGTAGCTTGTAGTGGTCACCTCCTGTCCATCTCTTCATTTTTCTTTAAAGAAAAATGCCCGCATGCAACTAAAAATTAATTAGGCAATACTTGTATTTTCTTTTCACCCTACTAGTAAAGCTATATTGGGTTAACTCACTGTATTGGATATCAGCCTGTTTGTATTTTTCCCCCTGAGATTCTGACACATCAAAAAAATTTATCATGGGATATAATGATCCCTTATAACCTTGAGAAGGATTTATATGTCAAAATGTGAAGGACCAATTCTTGAAGATGTTCCCAACCTTCACACATTCTCCTTCTTATGTATATCTGTCAGAGTTCTGGCAGGAAACAGATGGCACATTTTAGATGGCTAATTAAAGAGCTCATCCAAGGAACCATTTATAAAGATGTGATTGGAAATTGGGAGATCAACAGGAAATACAGCAGGTACCTCCCAAGGACAAAGCAGCAAGAGTTGTTACTATCTCTAAGCCAAAAGAATCAAGTAGAAGCTATCAGAAAGAAAAGAGGTGGCTGGACAGAGAAGGGCACCAATCAAGACATGTGACCTTCAGTAAGATAACACAGCCAGTTATGGTGGTGACCTCATAAGGGAGCAAGTAGAATAAATATTCAAATTTTACCTCCTCCTGATATGTTGCCAGTGTTCCCCCATTCTTGAAGAAAGAGAATCCAGTAATACTTTCTATATAGATCAGTCTCTAAGGATACAGAGTAGAGAGGCAAAGGTGAAACTGAGGGTCTAGAGAGATATTTCATTCCCCACTTAGTCATAGAAATTAGTGAAAATCACTTTTCAATGTGGAAATAACACAGTGTGCGTTTTTCATCAGCAGACTTGAAAGCAATTTGTATTATGAACTATCCATAGAAAAGAGGAACACATAAAATAAGACACAGACCCACACCTGTTATAAGGTAAGAGAAATATTTAATTTTGCACAAGAACGAGCTTATACTGAACAAATTCAACCAAATAATATTAAGTGCAGTAAAACAAGGAAATAGAGATGACTTTTCCTGTTAGAAAATATTAAGTAACCATGCCTGTGCATTATTTTTAGTCATTACAATAACTTGTTTCAGATTTCTTTTCAGAGTGTATACTGTACATAATGCATTATAGCTTCTTTACTTTGCTTCTGAAAATATAATTCATTCACTGCCTTACATTTTACCTTTTTGCAGTGAGGAACCTAACTGATTCATGAAGATTCTGATCTAGAAGAAAATTTTCTGTACCACTGAAGACAGAAGCTGTCAAAGATCCCCTGGCTTAGGCTTCCTGCCCAGGGGTCAGGATGCAGTGGTATTCCACACCCATCCTGCAAGTTGATGCCAGGTACAGCAGAGGCAGAATTTTGGTTTAGTTTTCCCCAAGAGTTTTCCTTTTGCCATTTTCTCAAGCTCCAGAAATTTCACAATTGAAAGTTCACCCAGCTATTAACAAAGCTGTATTTAGCTGCCCACAAATCATCCAATTTAAGTTTTAACTTTTTGTTTTTGGTCTTTTAAGAGAAAGAACACTCTTTAAACATAAATCTCCCATGAGACAGTTCACTTCACAGCTCCTGAAGGCACTGTGGATCCACTGAGCAACAGATGTGGCCATTCTGGAGAAGAAAAGTAGAAAGAAAGGTGGAGTATGAATTTTTAAGCTGTTAGCAAATACACTTACAGACTGGTACATGCAACTGTAACTATATAGTGATTTGTTACTTCTGCATTCCTGAAACTTGAATCACTGAATTGCTATTCATGACTCTACCATTGCAGAACCAATTATTAGGCCCAGTTATATTTGGGAAGTGATAGACTGGTATCCCTTTGTAACACATTTCTTCTTTTATGTATTCATTAAAATACGTGTTGAATACATTATTAGTAGATATTGATAAACAGAACATACCTAGTTGCTAATCTCCATTTACTATTTATTGAGGGAGAAAACTAGTAAGTACCAAGGAAACATGCAATAAAATGGTATGAAAAGTGTTGGATCAGTGCTATGGGCTGAACGCATGTGTTCCTTCAAAATTTTCACATTGAAAATTCTAATCCATAATGTGGTAGTAGAAGGAGGAGAGGCCTTTGCGAGTTTATTAGGGCATGAGAGTAGAGCTTTCATGAATGGGAGTGGTGCCATACATGAAAACATGAGAGAGCTTGCTGTCTGTCTGCCCTCCATCATGTGAAGATGCAGTAAGAAGATGGCTATCCACAGTGCCTTTACCAGACACCAAATCTGCCAGCACCTTGATCTTGGACTATGAGAATGAATTTCTCAGCCTCCAGTACTACGGGAGATGATCTTTTGATGTTTAAGCCACCCAGGATAAGGTATTATATTACAGCAGCCCAAATTGACTAAGACAAATGGAAATAAATTAGGCAGTTTTATGCTATGAATAAAAGACTTCCTACTTAGGTTGGTGGCTAGTTGACTTCTCTGTAGAGGTGATATTTAAATCAAGATCTGAAGATGAGTGCACAAAAAGTAGGCCTGAATCACAGGGAACTGCGTGAAGAGAGGTTGTGAAATGGCAAGAGCTTTGTGTAGTTAAGAAAGTGAGAAAAGGTCTGGGTGAGAAATTTAAGTTGGCAAAGAAAACAGTGTAGAGATGAAATAGGGGAAACCAACAGGGAAGGGCCAGATGTGCATGTTAGTTTTTAGAATGAAGTATCGAAATAATATCACATATTACAAAGGAGGAAAACACCCTACCTTCTTTGATTCCTGGAACTCTTTCTTTTCTCAATCAGTTAACTGCTAATAGTGATGACATTAGTACCACTATTCTAATCACAATGCTGATAATATCCTTACACTTCTTGAGTATGTACTCTGTGTCAGACACTTTGTCAGGCATCTTGAACACATTATCTAATTTCAACCTCACAGCATTCTCATGGCATTACCATTAATAGTCACACCTTTTAGTTCAGAAACTGAGTATCAGAAAGCTCAAATACGTCCAGAATCAAGCAGTTAATAAATCATAGAGCGTGGATTAAGTCTTAGGTTAGTCTGTCTTTAAAATTCATCCTGTATATTTTCTCTCAGATAATCGATGTTAGATGGTTAAAAACGTATTATACGTTAATATGATAAACTCAAAAGTGTCTTTGTTTCTGTAAGGTAAAAACTTTTTAAAATGAGATTTTAATACTCTAGCCTTTACTGAAGCACGCCAAATGAAGGGAAAAGCCAGTCTATATCCAGGAAGAACATTGATTTAACTCAATCCTACACATCTCAAAGCAGCTATTAAGCAGAATCTTAATGTGGCAGTAAGACAGAGACCCACTACCTCTAGGACCTCCAGCAGCATTTTAAAGCTTTGCCATTATGCTCAGAGGTATAAATTTTTCTAACCATAACCTGATTTATCAGGTTATGTACCAGCACCTCAACCTGTATGGGTTTTGAACAGAAATAGGGAATTTGTGATACCGTCTCCACCTAGCATCTAAAACTAGCATCAAAACTCTGACTAATCATAAGGGTGCTTCTCTATTAGACTTAGGAAAGGTAACCTAACTCTTTCATTTTTGAGTTAAGAGTTTAACTTCAGAGCAGAGGATGCATTTTGATTTTAACATTAGCAAATTAAGTAAGAAGGACCTTCAAAATGATAAAAAGGAAAATTGTATCATTTCCCCCAGATAACTCCTGTAACTCAGATCTCATTTTACTGAGGAGGTATTTACTTCTCTGTGAGTAACTGGTTCACATGTCATATAGTCTCTTAGAGTGGTACATCTCTCCTGCAGAGCACACTTCACAGGTGCAATGTTCTTTGTGTCATGCCTTTATTAACATCTATTTACTTCATATAATAACAGCCAACATTTATTGAGCACTCACTCTGAATGTATGGACATTGCATGAAGCTCATGTGGATCATCTTACTTAGTTCTTATAGCAACTCTCTCAAGTAGCTACTTAATAAACTTCCTAGGTAGGAATTATCATTCCAATTTTCAAGTTAGCAAATATTAAGGAAGGTCCCCTGAATTCACATAATTTGACTCTCAGTAGTCTTGACTTCTCATGCTGCATGCTTGACTTCTAGACCAGTTCTGTCTGACAAAACATTCTGTGATTATAGAAATGTCTACAAGTGCTGTCTAATATGATAATCAGTAGCCACTTATTGCTATTGAGTAATTGAAATGTGGCTAGTGTGACTGAGGAACTAAATTTTAAATTTTATTTAATCGAATTTATTTAAATTTAAATGACCAACATGGCAAAGCTCTGGACAATACGTTGTCCAGGCATTTCTGTGTTTGTTTTTCTTATCTTAGATCCCTGGAACCAGCACAATGCCCAAGCTATTGTTAAGCCTTTAGATTAGTTTTACTGTTGATTCCAAAATGATGAGTATGAAGTACAAAGGCCACTAAATTCAATTTTAAAGGAATGATAACCAAATTAGAATGCTTTCAACTTTCTTACAATGTATTTACTGAGTACAAGTGAATAATGCAGAGTAGGGCAGGGTAGGCAGGTAATCAACAGAATCAGCGCTCTGAAAACACTGAATTGTGAAGAATGCTATCTACATGTAATATCTAAAGCTTGTTTTGCATGACCTTTATTTAAAGAACAACACACAATGTAATCAAAGTGAATATTTGAGATAAATTTTATAGAACTGAACGTATTACTATACCTCATATGTAATAAGAAGGCAAATGTCAAGAATCAGCATTTATCTGACAAGAAGGTATAACTTTAATACAAAAACATACTTTCTGGAATACATTTCCACCAGGAATCAAAAGATTCCAGTAGTTGCTTATAAGGCAGTGATTGATGAGCTCATTCATGCTCTTTACCACCGAAAATACTAATGTTTCCTGCCTGTAACTGAATACATTTTTCTTACTGGAAGTGCTTTCTGAACTATATTTGGTTCAGAACTATATATACTACATGGAATATATTTTTGTTGTCACTGTGCAGACAATAACCTAACAGATTAAAGGTGAAAGAGGACTCAACTCTATTTGGTAATTAAATGTCAGAAAGACATTTGTCTGTTGGCTATTAGTGTTCAAGTTTTGAGATACACATGTTTAAGTCTATGCATATCAAACATAAATTAAAGTAACTTTGTATATACATTATTAGCAGACTTGTAGTAGTAGTTACTTTCAAGTTTGCTGATGTACTTTCAGAAAACAGCAGTAAGTGTTCATGTAGAAAGCTTTTCTTGATTGACAAATTGCATCAATTGAAAGAGCTAGAAATTTAGGCTTGAGAGAGATAAAAAATGTATCTCAAAGCTTAAAGCATTTTACATTTCTTTGTATTGTTACATCAAGGCACTCTAGTAAGAATTTCTATTAAGTGAATGTGAATTAAATTGCTCTATTGAAAAAAATTTTACAAAATGGAAGTCTGAATTAAAAATCAGAACAGATGAAGATATGTAATGCTGAGAAGAATATAACATCTTTGCTTTTTGGTTGCTATTGTTAAGCCTGTATATTATTTATTTAGTCTTATTAGTGATACCAAAAGTATGGCTATGCAATACAAAGACCACTCAATTAAGTTTTTTAGGAATAACAATAAAATTAAAATGCTTTCAACTCAATCACTATCATTGAACTCTCTCTACTCTGCCTACATTATCTATGTTTTTGCTTGTTTTGATGTAAAAGGTATATTTTCCTATGGAATAAAGAAAAAAATCTTTATAATGATTTTTTACCAACTGTAGGAATAAAATATGGTAAAGAGATCTCATTTTTTTCATCTCACCATAACTGGCCACAACAAACTGAGAAATATGCCCATTTTTGCCATATTGATTTCCACTTTAGAAACTGTATCTACTTTGTCAATATATTTTACAGCTCTCATAAAAGAGCTAGATAAAAATCAATAAAATAATATTGTCTTTCATCATGAGAGAAGAAACACGTTTGGTGTTACAGTTTTTTAAAGATGTGTACAATTGGCTACATTAGGGCACTTTGAGTAGCTTGTTTGTATTGATCACTGCTTGGAGCCCACACTCCTTTTCCCTGAATACCCATTACTAGACACAAGTGACAGTCAGCCTGAGTACTAGTAAGGCTGAATAGCTCCCTCCCACACTGCTGCTAGAATAACACATAGGAAATGAAACACTTCCCCTCATCCAGGTTAAGCCTATTAGCATCTCTGAGCCCTGGGGCAGCTGGCAAAGTGCCACTACTGGCACTTAATGGGCTTTACCTTGCACTGGCAAAGAGTACACTCAGTGCCATGCTTGATCCAGGAGGACCCAGTGAAGCGAACCACATTCATCTCGTCCAGGCAAGTTTTGGTGATGTCATTGCGAATGGTGTCAGCCTGGCAGGGATCAGTGACACAGCGTGGGCAGCACTCGTTCTCTGGGAGGACACTGAATTCACACTCTACATCCGGACAAGGCAGAGGCCAACAGTCAACTTCCCCTTGCTGTAAGGGAAACAGAGCACCAGGGCATCAGAAGCAGAGGGGAGGGATAAAGGGAGGCAGGGAGCCGGTAGGGGAGCGCAGTGGTTACTGAATACTCCATTTATGTGGTTGGTGTTCATACTGAGACCTTCAAAGTCCATGAATCTTACAGGTAAATACACAAGCCCCATGGAAATGATGAGTTCTATACTGCAGCTAAATTTTTAAACAATAGTCAAGGATTAAAGAACAATGTCTTTGTAATTGTTCTAAACTTTTCCCCCTAACTTGTCATTTATTCCTTTCTCATAGAAGAAGTTTTATCCATTTACAAGAGAATAGCTGAAATATAAAGGGAATTTGACAGGCTATTTTTGTTCATTCATGCTTCTCAATTTAGTGACTATGAACCACTCCTCTCTCTAAAATCCCCCCCACCAAAACAAAAACACGTGGGGACTCATTTCAGTCTTTCTTATTCCAGATGGAAAAATTTGTGGATCGAATGTTTTTAAAAACATAGTTCCCACCTGTTTCCTATTTTCTTCATAATTCTGAATCTCATGGTTGTGGAGGAAAAGCAGCTTTCAGGCACAGAAACTGACCTTGTTCTTTCAATTGATTTTTGGGTTGAAAGTATAAAAAAGATGGCAACAAAAAAGCATTGCCTTAAAAAATATCCTCACACAAATGAAAAGGAAACTGGTTGTAATAAAAGTATTCTCTTCTGTGAAACTTTTGGCTACAAAGACAGAGTAATTTTCGTTTCAATTTTCACAATTAGAAAAATCAGGAAATTTAGTCAAGTGAAAAAAGTTGGTGGTTTCTTTATCAAGTTTTTACTTCCTTCTTCACCAATTGCTTTCAGGAAAAGTTTCACAAGTGAACACAAGAACCCCAATTGTTTTTGTTGCTGTGGTTGTTGTTACTGTTGTTTTGAGACAGGGTCTTTCTGTGCAACCCAGGCGAGGCTAGAATTTGAGATCCTTCTGCCTCAGCCTCCCAAATGCTGGAATTACAGGTATAATCCACCATGCCTGGCCAAAAGCCAATTCTAATATGTATTTACTGCACATGCTAAAAATAGCATGTGAAAAATAAAGTAAGCATCAGTAACAATATTTAGAAGGAAAAAAAGTGTTATTTTTGTTTGTTTTGTTTTTTTAAGTTTGAGGAATGGATAGAAATAGGTTAGCAAAAATTCTATTTGGAAAAAGAATGGCTTTATCACTAATGCCACTGTTCTCTTCAAGTGAGTAACCCAAGAGTCTTCTTAGTTTGGACTATGGAAGTATTCCTGAAAGATGTCACTCTCTGAGAAGGAATACATGTATGGCACACCACTTTCATCCAGAATGCCACTTCTTGGGTCTGTCATTGCATCGTCTTACCCAGGCCCATGTTTTTGTAACTGGCCATACTGTGGCCAGATACTGGGTACTGGTAGTTGGGGAGGTGAAAGCTGCTTCCTATTTAGAGTCTGGGCTTAAACTCTTCCCCTCCCATGCAGCTAAACTTACCAAGCAGCGACACTGTTGGCAGTTCTGGACCCAGGTGTCACCACTGTTGTATAAGGTTTCCCCATTTTGATGGAGGCACTGACTGCTAAGTCTTGGGTCACATTCAGGGCAACAAAAAAGATCAACTGTGGGATTCTCACAGTCACAAACCATCCGTCGACACATAACAAATCCATTCTGCAGGAGAAAGGGAAAAGGCATTACAAAAACCCTTCATTTCTTGTCTCCTAACATCATCTGGAGGTTGAGACAATTCATTCTGTTTACTCAACACACTTTCAATAAAATTCCATTTTGTAACTAATACACAGAAATTGCCCAAGTCAGAGGACTTCCAATTTCCTTTCCACACACTACTCTTCAAATGATTAGAAAGAAAGAAATTTTCCAGAAATTGATCAGTATAAAATGACAGCCATTACAGGGTCCAATGTCTACATAAATGTGTTTGTATAAATAAATACACATATATTTGTGTATTGGTATAGGAATTTGAATACTAAGTTTATTTTGTACAAAGCCACTGTGTTACTATTTGGTAGCCAGTAAGTTTAAATAAACTATTGCTAAATTTCTGTCATATTTAGACATGTTTTTATACAAACTGTTATTTCTTTTACAATATTGAGTCTCTGCTACATAGTATCATTCATTTGACTATAACTTAAGTCTTTAGTATTAACTGGTATACATGATAGACTATCTCTCTAAAACTAAAACTAAATATAGCCCAAATAGATATTTTTCACTCTTGAGTCATAGCTTATATAGTCTGACTTCATTCATGTGTTTGTCAAGTGTATTATGACTAAGGACAACTAGCAGCATTAGTAATAAAATGTTATCAACATGTGAAATTAATAACACATTGTAGCATAATGGTACAATGGAATACTATTCATCAATGAAAAGGAATAAATATGTTACAATATTAATAAATATAAAAAACCATAATGCTGGGAGAAAGAAGCCAGACATAGGTAGGTATTATATGATTCCACTTATGTGAAGCTCTAATAACTGTTAATTTATCAGGACTGAAAGCAGTGTTTCCCTGGGTCTGGAGGTGCAGAACTAACTAGGAAAGGACAGAGGCAACATTTGGGTTAGTAGAAATATCCTTTACATTAACTATGATGGTGATTAAATGGATGTATGCATTTGTTAAAACTCATCAAGCCTTATACTTAAAATATATGCACATTATATCTTAATTAAGTTTTATTTATACTAACCTGACAAGAGCACACAGAGCACCGGTCATTTTCCAACACCCAAATCTGACCGTTGTGTTTGACTTTCCCATTGTGGATGCAGTCTCCTGTGCAGTTCTTTCCATGAGGGCACCGACAATCATATCCGCCATCCAAGTTGAAGCAAATGGTGTCATTGGCACAGTTGTGCCTCCCGGTTCCACATTCGTCGATATCTAGAGACAAGAAAAAACAGCATACTGCATGCTTAGGATATGCTGTTTCAAAAAATTGCAAAGGGTAAGTTGTCTCCTGACAGAGCTTTTAACTATAAATTAATTTTTACCTTGCTGACATGCATTTCCTATTAAATGCTGACTAAAGCATTGTGAATGATCTGGGGATTTCACAGGAAAATATTGTCAACTTCTAATTTTGAAAACTAGATAACTTTGGCTAAAATTTCAACTTTTGTATCTCTGGAAATACCATTAGGCTTTATGAAACATTAATACTTTTTGAAAGTAAGACTATAACTCAATTTATCAAACAAAAACAGCTTCATAGTGGAAATTCTAAAAAGTGCCTATGATGTCTTATTGAGGGGTATTATCCCCAGTATTAAACTGGTGCTTACAGAACATCCCTCCTTAGTGGAAGAGAAATGTCATGGGATCCCTGAGATGTTTTATTTAATTTCAAACCCCATTCTCGCAGCTACACCATTCCACAGGCAAGCTTTCCAGTGTTCTGCCAAGGTATTTTTCTTTACAGGCCAGGTATTTTCACACTGTCCTCAGACCCTTCTTACTCACCCATGAAGGGCAAGTGACCACCAGCAATTACCAGCTGTCTCACAAAGAATCCTCTCCTTCTTAACTTTCCATTTCAGATTATTATTTCCTTCCCTGCCTGACTCAGTTGGTGACTGCCCATTCTTTACCTCTTCCCTGGCAATAATACTAACACATTTTCATTCAGATGAAAAGCAAACAGGCCTTGACCCATGGATCAGGTACATAAGAGGAGATGTGATTCATTTTATTTACCCCATAATTTAAAGGTCACAAGCCAAAATACATTTCAGAGGGATTGTATGAGTGGAAGTAAGCCGTGATTTCCCATTCCATCCATTTCTTCTAAGTAAAGGTCAAGAAAGAAAGAATTAAATCATGGCAGAGGAAGTGGGTTAGAGAGAAGATGAATGGATAGCTTTTAACCAGGGGAACTGTACACTCATCTTCCTTGAAGATTTCAAAGATTTCTTAAATGACTTGATTCCAACATTAATTTAAGGCTTGACTGGTCAAGATTGTATCTTGATCATATTTAAATTCTTAAATACATAATTCTACTATCAATGTATTCATGAAAATAAACCATATGATATATTTTTTCTCTGCTTACCTTAATTTTTATTAGATCCCATCGCCTCAAAACCAATTATTTGGGACAATGGCTATAAAGGTCATTATAACTATAATGATCTTTGTTATAGCTTGATTTGTCAAGAGCAACACTGGTTATGATTATAGACTATGATCAAAAAGAACTGCTAGCAAGCATGCAGTTATATCTTTAAAACTAAGTAAAATGGTTAATGTATTTCCTTAGATCAGAGAAAATTTTCTCTTTATAATGAAAATAAAGACTTAAAAATTAGCTCTATATTTGGTTTACACAGAATAGTGTGGTATATTTGATGAATTGATCTTTGTCTCTATTCAGTATTCCTATAATTAGGAATTACAGTATGCAGAAAAAACATTAACCTATTTGATATCTTTGACCAAAAACTCTATGGACTTATTTTACTACAGAACCCTTATAATATCCACTAATGGCAAGGACTGGATTTTTGCAATCATTTCATTTTGCTTGAAGTTTAAAAGTAAAAGGTCTAATGAAAAAACGTTCACCAGTTTTCATAAAGGAAATGCAAATCAAAACCACACTGAACATCATCTTAAGTGAAGTTAGCCAGGCTCAGAAGGCCAAAAGCTGCATGTTCTCTCTCATATGTGGAATATAGACCTAATACAAATACAGCAATATTATGAAACACTAGTCACACTAAGGGGAAGTCACACATGGGAGGGTTAGGGGAACGAAGAACTTGAATATGGTTGATATACTCTCTATACAAGAATGAATATAGAAATCTGAAGCCAACTGAAACTACCATAAGAAAGGGACTAAGGTAGAATGAAGAAAATTAGAGGAGATAAACCAGTTGGGGTTATAATACACATATACATGGAAATATCACAAGGAACCTCCCTGTGTAGCTACCTTTATCTCAAATAAGCTAAAATGTCATGTTTTTCATTTTATCTTTTCTCTTTTTTCTTCTACAAAACTGGAGAACTGGAGGGCAGAGGGCTGGCACTAGTGGGAGGGGGGTGATGGGGAAAGGGGTAGGAAGGTAAACATGGTATAAAAAATGTGTACACATGCATGTAAGTGCAAAAATGATACCTGTTGAAACTACTACAGGAATCGGGGATTGGGGTTGAGGGGAAGGAGAACAGTAGAGGAGGTGAATTCATGTATGATATATTTGATACATTGTAAGAACCTGTGTAAATGCCACAATGCACCCCTACCCAGCACAAAAATAAAGAAAAAAATTAAAAATAAAAGGTTTACTACTGGTTAATGCATTTTTTTCATTTAAATTCAGAAAAAGTCCTTGGGTTTGCTGAAAAGACAAAGAGATGTCCAGACACATGAAGAATTTGCATTCTTACTAAGATAAAATATATTTATAATAAGGAAATAGAGTAAAATGAAGCTCACAAAAATGGTCGCTCTGTAGTTGTGGTACCTGGGGAAATGTGTAGTCAGAAGTATCATAATGAATGGATTATAACCTTTTGCTCTCCATTTGAATTAGTTTGCTATCCATACTGGGTGTCACAATGCAAAAACTTTGCCCATTTGACTAACAGTACCTAATTTTGGAACTCATTTTTGTATGTAAAGTGTTTATAATCTATTTAGAAAATCTATATGATATAGACAAGTTCCCACTTTACAAGTATTGATAACTCTTTTAAATAGTGACTATTGAAGAAACAACATTGCTAAATCCACAGTTCAGTCTCATTTCTCATCTAACTGGATCTAGCAGTGACATTTGGCACAGCTCACTCCCTTCCCTGAATGAGTATTTTTTATTTGGATCCCATCACATTTCCAGATCCTTCTCCTACCTATCCATTCTCTAGGCATGGCAATCATAGGATGAATAAGATTTAGCCATGCAAAAAGGAGATAAAGGTCACATAGTGTTCCAAGGTAAGAGTATGTTTAGTGACCTAAAGTTTAGAGCTATGAAGATGTGTTGGAGAAGCAGAAGTATTGATATGACTGGAGAATGCAGTAATACAGTAGAACAGGCAGTTATACCTTCCAAAGGTGCTCAGGCCCAAGAAAAGGTTGTATTTAGAAATTTGAACTTTATTATAAAGGCAGTAAGATACTATTTTAGGGAAATAAAAATTGAACTTTATTATAAAGGCAGTAAGGTATTGTTTTAGGGAAATGCAAAAATGTCATAATCAGATTTTCATTTTGGAAAGATTCCTTTTGGAAAGGGAACTTGAGTGGATTAGAATTTGAAGCCAGGAGATTAGGGAAAAAGCTGTTTCAGTAGTGCAGGCAAGAGATGATCCTAACAACAAAGCAGACTTAGACAATGGCTGGTATGTACCAGATTCTGAGAACTTTTCATAGTGATTTGAACCCCAAAACAACCATGGACGGCACAAAGAATTCTTAATTTTACAGATTAGGAAACCGAAGCCCAGAAATGTTGCATGACTTTCCCGTGGTCACAGTCAATGAGGCACAGAGTCAAGATGGAACCAAGTAGTTGGGGTTGCGATTGTAAGCATAATTCCCTGTTGGGTAGTAACTGTGGGAATGCATCGAAAGAGGCTATGGGGCAGGATGAACATGACTATGCTATTTATTGACTTTGAATATTAGGAAGAGGGAGAGATCAAAAATGATGTTTAGATATATGATTTGAAAACACTGATTGATGCTATATATAAAAAAGAGAAAGACCTTTCTGGAGAATAGAAGAGAGGGCAGGAAAGAAAGCAGGCATCTGTTCAGTTTAGGATTTGCAGAACTGAACTTTCCTCTGGGCTTCCAAGCCATGCTATCTAGTAAGTGGGAGGTACTCCTACAATACTATTATAGTACTGCTCTTATTTCCTGGAGCTCATAAACTTGGACTGGGCCAAAATATGGACTTGGTGCAGACATGCTTTCATTATTCTCCTTGTCAAAAACAGTTCTTCAGACAGAAGTACAAACTTCATACAAGGCACTATAAGTTACTCCCTAGAATTGTATCCTCTTTCTCTATTTGGACTTTCTAATAATATCACCATAATTAACGAAGTCCTTAAAAAAATGCTAGGTAATTTAAGAAAGCTTCCATGATGTCACAGAAGAAGTAATTGTTCTGTTTTCTCACAGCACAGCATTGGTATTTTTTCTCAAAATGATCTTTTCTCAGTCATTTTCACTTTGTCTCTCTTGGCTTTCTTATCTTTTAAAAATCTCACTGCATTCTATTGTGCATGACAACTATTATTGTACATATTTTATTTCTTCTACAGCTGAGAGCAGTGACTATTTCTACTTCATAGTTGTATGTAGCAGATGCTGGCAAAGCACCCTGGTGTACCTGTGCATATTCAGTAACTACTTGTTGAGCTGAGTTGGATTCATTCCATTTGTCTTGAACAAATATTTTTGAAAAGTATCTTGTAAGCATTATTTTTTGATATCACAAGTTCAAAAGCACCTCACCAAGCTTAAAGTTTACCAATAATATAAAAAAGAGAAAGGAGGACTGGTGGTATGGCTCAAGTGGTACAGCATCTGCCTTGCAAGCATGACGTTCTGAGTTCAAACTCCAGTACCACAAAGAAAAAGAAAGAAAGAAAGAAAGAAAGAAGAAGGAAGGAAGGAAAGAAAAAAAAAAGAAAGGAAAGAGAAAAGAAAGAAAGAAGATGGAAAGAAGGGAAGGAAGGAAGGAAGGAAAAGTGGTTATGAATATGAAATATTCTTATGTGGAAAATGCTGGGTTGTGCCAATACTTCAAAATTTCAAGTATTGTAGGAATGATGGTATAGACTAGGAAAATGGCACTCTGGCATGTTACTTGGGGTTAAGTGGTCTAAACCTGAGATAAATGGATGGGCAAAATAGTATATAATTTGTGTGAATACAGCTTATAAACA